ATCATTCCCCTCATCTCTTGTTCCTTTCTCTTATTGATTGAAGAGTAGAGATAAATTTATCATTTTTAATTTTTCATATCTGTTTTGAATCTCAACTCAATTTGATTCTATTTTGGTCATCCACACATTTTTGTTGAGAATGAAAGTTAAGTCTCAAAGTTAATAATTAATAATACTTAGTCTTACAAAATTTTTTCAAAAATAATTTGTAAATTTCAATTTAAATAGTTGCATGTTCACAAATTTTAATTATAAATAAAATATTTAAATTTTAGATATAATTCTTAATTTGCAATTAAGATTTTGATTTGTAATTATTTGAATAAATATTTATTACTTAATTTTTAGAAAATTTTATTAATAATCTAATTTTCATAAATATACTCTTTTAGGATTTCATTGTCATTTTCATTTTTTAAAAAAATTATATCTTAAGACACAATCAAGAACCTAAAAATTGTATACATATTTTGGAAGAATTGTATATAAATATTATTTTGTTATTTAATAATAATAATATTTTTTTTTTTTATGTCAGAATACAATGGTATTCCCCCCGTCTCAAATTTTAAGACATGTTTAGATAAAATTTTATATACCAATAAATTTCAATAAATACGTTTAACAACATTATTTTTTTAAAATAAAATATAAACTTCTAAAAATACTCATAATTTAATATATTAAAGAGAGAACGGGTGGAAATTAATTATAAAGAGAGAAAGGATAATAGAATTGGTGTATTTAATAAAACTTTAATCTAACCAATGTATTTTATATTTTAATATAAATTTTTTTTTTCAAAAGTATACAATAATTTAGGATAGAGATAGTATTTTTTTTTCTTTATTTTTATCAATCGTAAGGGTTCTTCATTCCAATCATAACCCAACTGAACACTCAATTAGGTCCAAATATTCGCATAAAACAAAAGAAAATTTGCCTGAAGAAGATACTAAACAAACCAATTGATAAGTTGAAAGATCATAAGTCGAACTTAATTTCCAAACAGGATCATAGAATTTCGGATTTATCGAGACCAAATGATCACAGAAAAAGTTAAGATTTTCACCCCTAGTGAATTCATGGCGTTAAAAATATTCACTAAGCAATTTGTCCTTTTTTTTTTAATTGTCCCTTTGTTTTTAACTTGCATGATTTGATTACCTTCTACTAACACCATCATACTTATTTTATTTATCCAAAAAAAAAAGTCACACTTGTAAATTATATGTCGTTGTTATTTATGCTTTACAGCACAAATTTGGTCACATGGTTTTCATCGTAGGCAAAAGATACTCATCGCGCCTCATCAAAAAAAATGATGAATATTTAAAAATTAAAGACTTTTAAGTTTTAATGATTTGTGTTTGGTAAAAAAAAAAAAAGGTTTTAATGATTTGTGGACGTGGGTGTTTGAGGTACGAGTTCAAATGAGTTTATTTGATTGGCCAATTATTGAGAAGATTAGTAGAGATATATTTTTATATGTTTATTTAATTGAGTTAAATTTGAATATTTTGAGACTTATTAATATATTTCTCACAAAGAAGTTTTTAACATTCATATGAACTAAAACCTAAGGCTTCGTTTTTAAGAATAATAACTCTTTTTATTATGACCAACATTTGTTTGTAAATATATTAATTCATGATGTTATATCATAAGCTGATCAAATTAAAGTTCATGCAATGACTAAACATTGGCAAGAAAATGAAGTTAAATACTTAAAAATAAAGAAAAATGATAATAAAATCTCTCTAAAATATATAAATGATAATTTGATCATTCAAAATACCACAATTTTCTTAAAATTTTTAGAAGCTTTTCTGTTATTAATAAATTTATATAAATTACTAAATTGTTCTTGTTAAAAATAAATGATTTATAAGTTTTGTTTACATATTCACAACTTTTCTTCTAATATTTATAACAATGCAATAACAAATAAAGAATTTAACATATAAAGTTACAATTTGATGTTGCATTATTGCAAATATAAAAGAAAAATTGTGAATATTTAAACAAAACTTGTGAATGATTTATTTTCAATAAGAGCAATTTGATAATTTATATAATTCATCAATGACAGAAAAGTCTTCAGGGATTTTAAAAAAATTATGATATTTTGAAGGATTAAATTATTATTTATATATTTCAGAATGATTTTATTGTCATTTTTCCTAAAACTAACTGACTTGTTAACATAATATCTGACCAATCGAAAAGAAAATAACTAAACATTGAAATTCGATTAAGCTAAAAATTATTACAATCAAAGTCTCTATACATAATGTACTTTTTTTTAATACAAGGCTACGGAAAAACCGTGCTAGAGGAATCCAGAAATTAGGTGATGTCAGATTCTATGAGGGATCTGCATCCTGAAGGTGGTTGGTTAAAAATAACAAAACTTGAGTTTTTTTTAGAAGCCTGGTAAGCAAGCATGTCAGTGCATATATTCATTTCTCTAAATATGTGATTGAATGTAATGATTTAATCTCTTATGACAAAATCTCTAACTTTATTGATAGTTTTTGAAAGATGATGATTGCCAGAGAGATTATGCTAAATAAGAGAAAGAGTTTTTATAAAGTCAAAATGAACATTGATTTCAATGAATTGTACATTCCAACAGAGGTAAAACCCTTTTAAACTGTCCAAAAATTCTACCGAGGTGCTAGTTTAATAGTCAAGGTATTTGAAAAAATCTCTTAATTTAATTACTTTTATTATCCCAAATGATGTCATGCAGTTCCATTAAAACTAGCAACACATAATGTACGCTTTTAATTGACGAATCTCACCATGATTGATGGCGAGATTATATCATATCATTATCATCAACTACAACTAAAGGAGAATTCCAGCATTAGTTTAGATGATTGATTATCTTGGTGAAAATGTTAAAAATGTTGGGTAACTTATATTTTAATAATTATATTCACTTAATTATTTTTTTTCTTTTGAAAGTTGTTTTACTTTACATAATAGATGCATGTTTAATTGGTGATTAGAAGTTTGGCAATGATGAATAAGGGAAGTGAATGTGATAATAAATCATTATCATCACTTTTTCTTTTGGACAAAAGAATCATTATCATCACTTTTTTTTTGGACAAAAGCATAGATGATTACCCATGCTAAAAAAACAAAAACAAAAGAGTATGATTAAAGTATCCCGGTTCACTCTTAACTGAAAAAAAAAAAAAAAGAAGTATCCCGGTTCACTAGTTAGCTAACCTTTAAAAGTATATTTAAATCAGATATATTTTTGTCAAGTCTAAAAAATAATTGGATTTCTAAATGAACTTTTGCAAGATGTAAAATGAAAATTAAACACACACTTATCTAATCTTGTTACTGCTTTCACTTTTCAATTAGATGGATCTGTGGAATAAATCATACTTCCTTTATTTTAAATTATAAGACACTTTTAAATAAAATTTTATATACAATAAAACTCATTAAATACACTTTACAACTTTATTTTTTTAAGATAAAAAAATAAAATTTTAAAAATTTTCCTCATTTAATACTCCATTAATAAAAATAATAATGAAAAGAGAAAATATATAAGAAGGGTAATATTGAAAAAGTATAATTAATGAAACTTTATTTTTATTAAAGTGTCTCATATTTTAAAACGTTGAATCTTTTTTAAAAGTATTTTATAATTTGGGACGGAAGGAATACTAGATATTATGCCAAAAAAACAACTAAATAAATAAATAAATCACATTGTTACATGCCAATAATAAAAATAGATATAGATTTTATATGTTATATGGAACATTGATGCTCAAATTGACATTAATGTTAGATTATTTAAATAAATTAGTCTTCACTTCTGAACGGGATGTTTTAAGTACTTTTTAATATAATTATATGATATCTGGTATTACTAAATTAAATTTAAGTATTGTTAATAAGCGAGATAGCTCTTTTAACAAGTTTTTATTTTTTATTTTTGTTGCCAATGACCTTATAAGTTATAACCTAGTGATATATAATGATATAAGCACTTCCATAAGTGAGAGATTATAAATTTGATTCCGCTTGTAACTTCATGCCATTAATACTTGTACTTGCCCCTCTAATTCAAAAAAGATTTTCTTTCTCCATGAAGTTTTTTTTTTTTAACCTTGCTTATAATGTTTTGAGTGTCTTCTCGTCCACGTTTTTAGGGTTGTTGGTTCTACACAATATGATCGAAAATTAATTTAAAATGTAAATGATAAATATCCTGCTACTTTATCTCTTATTTAACCAATATCTATTTGACCTAGATCATATCACCCCCAAAACAAAAAAGAAAAACACTCCCAACAAATTATTAACAATCTTGGAAGAGAAAAATAAGGTCAATTATTTAAAGATTTTGTTACATTTGAAAATTTGTATATCATTTTATAATGATAAAATAAAATTTGTTCAACAATTATGTAAAGGGTTCTTTACACTCAAGTTCCAAATAAGGAAATTAATTATTTCTTTAGTCCATTTACAAGTGAAACTTCTATATTTACATGTGAAAATTCAATATTTACAAGTGGATGAGATTTGTAAATAATCAGTCTCTTTATCTGGGACCTTTATATAAGCCTCCCTTATTCATATACAGTTGGCTGCCCTGAACCTCTTCATAACCTTGAAGAGCAATTAACTTACAAGCCCGAGATTCACACTGAAGAAATTTTAAGCCCAAGAAATTCTTAGAACTAGAAAAGGAAATTTTCAGATTGCATAAACTGAAAAAAAAATTATTGCCTCCATTAAGGGAAGCAATTTTGAAAATGCTGACATTATCCAAGACACTCTAGATTGAGAAAAACCTTGCAAGTGCGATTTTAGGTGAAAGAGTTTATCCGGCATGAGGATCTGAATCGTGTCTTTAGTTACAGCTGAGAAAATATGAAGAAAAATACAGCCATTGTAAATGGCAATTATATAGCATGACGCAGGGGATTCTAATATACAGGTATTTTTGCTGTTACTGATGACAAACTAAAACCCTTGGTTAACACTTCAATTTATACAGTAGAAATAGTGAAGACAGAAATTTCCCAAAGTTCATGCAAGATCAAGCAGAAAGTCAAAACGAGATATAACAGTAAAGTAAGGTTTAAAAAAAAAAAAAAAACATATGATAAGTCCTAACACAAACAAGGCAGGATTCTATGGAAGCAAGATTACATTACTGTAAATGTCTACTCCAATACTTCACTTTCAACGATTATGTTGATTTTGTGTAAAAACGGATACCGACAGCCAAACCCAAGATAAGCAACGGAACTAAGAACTGGAGGATCTTGATAAAGAAATCTGGCGACTTGTCCTGATCATGCAGAGGTTGTTTTGGGGGAGTGTACTTAACCTTGGTGGGGATGGTCGAGGAATCGATGTCTCCAACATAAAATTCATCCATCATTGCCACAGCACTGGTGCTGTGTCCTACATCTTCGAAGTCATCAGTTGCATCTTTCCCTGCATACATATGCATTTACAACTATGAAACACCAACATGTCAGAAACAGACCCATATTTGTGTTTTGACATTCATATCAGACATGACACAACATGCAAGCTTTGAACTGCACTAGGATATTGCATATTTAAGCATCCAATTGTCCATATCTTGTCACATCCTGTCTTGTATCCGTGTTAACATATTTGCTTATTAGATTTATTGACATTTGAGTTTTGTGAGACCAGAAGTGATGAATTCCTCAGCCAGTCAGAAAAAAAACAAAGGATGTTACATGTTTTGTACTGTTATAATATCTAAGTCGTGTCATATCTGATGTCAATGCTGGAAGCACTTACAAGATTTAAAAACATCTTTGTCCGGAGTGAGCAAAAGTGATGAATAAGTCAGTGAGTCAGAGAGGCAAAAAGGCTAGTTGCATACCTGTGGCAGATATCAAGGCATCATCCCCACCTGGGTGGTCCTCTAAGAACTTTGTCACGTTATAAACCTGTGCACAAAATATTCTTAAGGTAATGAAAACCAATGATACGAGGAAGTCATGCAGTTATTAAACTCCACAGCCACACGTCTCGCTCTCTATCATAAGTTCAGTACGTATGATAATACTGTTATTTGAGTGAACATCCCCAAGTTTTTGTTTCCGGTACTGATATAATGCGTATGTATCTTGAAAGAAACCGAGTAAAAAGAGATGGATAATAAGAAATGGACAAATTTGTCTGTAATTTGAACTTTTAATGTGAATTAAAACTTAGGTGCTTGGTTTCTTACAGGAAAAGCAACAGTGGTTTTGACAAGTTCGAATTACTACAACATTAAGGTTTCAAAAAGCACTTCATACAATCTTGAGTGATGTGTCCTGGCTAAAAATCAAAGATAAAACAGTTATAATTAGGGTGTTATATGAAACACCAGCAGACCAGAAAGCAATTTTCCCTTTAATGATCAGATTTATCACATGCTTGTTATATATATATATATATATTATAATTACTATCAACTCATTAATAGAATACAATTGAGATAATTTCCTTAACACAACGAAAGAACAAAAAATCAATGACTATGATCCAAGATGTGAATTTTGCAATTTTGAACTTCTGAGATGTGAGGCATCATGAACCATGTTTGGGTTTGAGCCCAGGTTTTAGATGTTCTAATAAAGGACAATACTATATAAATAATCTAAGTTAACATATCATTTCTGACAGAATCTGTTTTAAAAGAAGCAGGTTCAGATCAGTTGCAAAATGTTTTATATCCTGAAAGTATATAGATGATATCACAGAGTAAGAATAAGTGATTCTGCACTCCGAACATACAGAAGTGACCAATGACAGCATCCAAAGCTCGATCATCATAGAAATTCACAAATTCAGAGGTTCTGTAATGACCTTAAGAGAAAAAGACCATTTCCATTCATAATACTAAATGCAGGAGTCATGAATATAGCGGACCTTTTCAAGACATAGCTTGAAAATGTTCAAGAATGACATGAATAGCTTTGATTCAACAAACAATCCATATTCAATTTGATTAATGTGAAATTCCACTAAACCAAGAGAAAACCCCTAATTGGTTACTGCGTGTAGACAACTCAGAGTCAGCATCATTTCAGTGATCTTAATTTTTCTAGGAGATCTACCTTATTATTGATAGGAATTAGAGAAAAGACATGGAGGCAGAGTAAATAAATAAATTCAAAATATATGAAACAAGCACATTGCCTAGATAGATTGTAAATGCTCACTCTTTCCCCTCCATTACATCAATCTTCACAGGCAAATTTATCTTATCACTTTCAGGATTCCAGCCTTTGATTCCAGGCCCACCCACGTTGTCCATAACCTCCCATTTTCCAAAGAGAACAAAAACAATCCATCCAGAAAATCATCACAAGAACGACAAACCAATCAAAATTCAAATCACCATCCAAAGACCCAATAAGAAAAGCAATTGCATGTCGAGCCCATTCCATATACGAAGGAAACAACATGAACGTCACCAGATCAGCCTCAGTCATCATTAATTCCATTAAACCTTGATCCCACTAAAAAACCAAGATCTTGAATTATAATTATTATCAAACCCAAAAAGAAATCCCATAATTAAAACGCAAGCACAGCATGAAACCCGCAATCCAAATCAAGTTCTGCATATCCACAAAATCTTCACAAACCTTGCCATTGATAACAAGCCAGCAATCTGTGGAATTGTTGTGCTGAGAGACCTCAGCAAGAGTGTACACCTTGCGCTCCCCACCCATTGACGAAGGAGAGCGAGAGAGACGAAAGTGTAAATATGTCTTGGAAAACAAGCCGCAAATGCGGTTCCTGTAACTGAAAAAGGTTACAACTTAAAGACGCTGTGAAGGAGGAGAAACGTTTTAATGAGGGGAAACGAGAAGTAGGTAAGGATAGCGATGTTTGGTTGCATACAGATGAAGAAGTAGAAGATGGTTACGATGGGAAAAGATCATTGGCCAATGAAAGTGTGACGAGAGAAAATATGGTTAACCGACCAACCAACCCAGCCAATTGGCCACGTGTTTTGTCTTGAAGCTTTAATCTTGGCCTCTAGTTTTTCAGTTTTTCTACTTTTCAGGTCTAACTCTTCTTTTCAATGATTTGAAAATGTCATCCAAAAAAAAAGAAAAGAAAAGAAAAACAAGCTTTGAGATTTCTTACATTTATAATATGATTTTCAAGCCATCGGCTTACTTTTGTATTTTTATTGATTGAATTATACATTTCTCTGGCTGAATTATGCGTTGTTCTTGTCAAACAAAAATAAGAATAAACAATGTTAAATTTGTTATGTTAATAATTTATTATTCAGTTTTCAAAGTATACTTTTATTTATTTTACTAAAATGTGTAAAACAGCTTCACATAGATTAACTAAAGTTGAAATGAACGGTAGAGATAGGAGTTTAAATTCAGCCATTATATATGTAGTAATGTAGTTGAAAAATATTTACCAATTGATCGTAGTAGCTTGAGAAGATATTATCTACTATCGGTGAGGTCTATTATTTATAAGAGTTTATTATAAATTGTTTTATAATAAAATATTTACTTGATATTTAATATATATTTTTATTGTTTACAGGTAATTAAGACATCCTTTTATTAAAGGTAAGTTCTCAATATTTCGAGAAGATATTTTCTTCTATTTATACTTTAAAAAAATACCTTGACATAAAATTTGATAAATAAATTATACTATTTGCCCAGGAATATGTGTTTATGATGGATTGTTTGTTTTATAGAAAAATATTTTATTGATATTTAATGTTTTATTTTTAATGCTCACATGTATCTTTTTATTAAAGGTATCATATTTAAAATACAGTCAGACACTAAATATAGATATTTTTTTTGTAGGGATTAAAATTTATAAGATGATAAAATCAAAGATAATAAAACTTTTAATCCTCCAAATTTCTCTCAACTATTAATTTAATCTCTTAAATTTTTAATTTTTATCACCTTACATTTGTTTCAATTATTAATTTAATCTTTATTATTTAAAAAGAATGTAGCACTATTAACATGAATAATGAAATATTAATGATAGACTTGTAGATTAATAAAATAAAATATAAATTATTTATGTAAAAAAAAATGAACTCCGAAATTTAAAAAAAAAAAAACAAAGAACAAAACCCAAGTGATCACATTTGGAAAGCTTGTTATTATTCTATAGCTTTTGGAAAGCTCCCATTCTTTGAGATCATCACATTTTTTACTGGGAGAGTGGACTATTTCATACCAATACACATTATACATCATAAAATTTATAAGTAAATTCTTTGCAAATAAGGAACAACATAGCTCATCTTAAATTATAGGAAAAATATATCCGTAAATTCTTATAATTTTGATCAATTTTAAATAAGATCCATATAGCTTATTTTATTTTAATTGAGCCTTTATAATTTAATCAATTAAATTTTTTAATTCCTAAAAGTTAAAATTCTTAAATTTTTTCTTTAAAAAAAATTAAGAAGTTTTATTTTTTTATTAAATGATTTTATAATTTTAAAATTAATTACATAAGTTTTATAATTCAAAATTTATATAATTAAGTTATCTTCTAAATATTTGTCAACATAGAATTTTCACCAAACAATTACTAAAAATGAAAATATTAAATTAAATCAAATTTCCTTTTTTTTTTTCAATTTTAACTAAAAATGTTAAATTAAATTTTTTTGTAAACTCCAAATGTATTTTTATTTTGTCAAATTTAACCTTCAAAAGTTAAGATCAACAATGGATCAAATTATAAGAAGTTAATTTTTCTTAAATTACATATAAAATATAAAACCCACATTTTAGATTGTATAAAATACTTTTGATTAGTATAAGCGAAGGGATTCCAGAGATTTATATTCATAACGAGTCATATTACTTAGAGAATATGCTTTCCATATGTTATATTAACGATCGCTCTTAATTTTGTAACGGATATTTGAAGCAGTAGCACTCGAATAAGATTTGAGTGCAAAATGAATTGGACGGCATCATGAGACAGTTCTCCCCAAATTGAAAGTTAAATCCTGTAGATTGCCATTGGGGGGGGGGGGGGTAAAAAACCCTTAGAGGAACTAATCATGATTAAGTCACATATTATTTGAACCTCACCCACAAAATCAAAAATAAAAAGTTACATTGGGTTAAAATGCCAAAAAAACAAAAAAAAAAAGGGCTCCAACAAAAATTCAAAAGGGAGAAACCAAGATTTAAAACACAAGAAAATAAAAGGCATAATAATCTCTACAGAATTTCATGATGTCAGATGCACAGAGCACCCGATCCCTACTAAAATTAGAAGACATGCCTATTGCAAATCGGCAAGGGAGATAAAGACCAGCTTGATCATCCTTAAAACACCAATCCACTCAACTTCCCAATATAAATGCCATTCTCAATGAACTACAAATTTCCGGCTAAACCACAGCTAAAACATGTTCATGGTTGTTTGGGAGGGGAAAAAAAACACATTTGTGGAGGTTGTCCAATCATATTGGCTTGATCTTGAAGTGCAGCGAAATGAGTGAAAATACAAAACACTTCAAATCCTGCAGAGACATGAAATTTCTCATAAGAATAAAAACATGGCATAACAGGCTAATAAAGGACTGCGAATATTCATTAGGTGCCAAACAGATTAGAAACAATGCCACCCACTCTATAGCACATTACATGTAAATATTTGCTCGGGATTACAATAGAAGTCACTATCAACAAATTTATATTTCTCAAAAAAACAAAGTAGATTAAAATCTTGATTTTCTAAAAATTTAGACTTTCAAATCACGCCCTTGAATGAAATAAATATAACATTTGACTTGTTCAAAACATCCTCATTAACTACTTTAATGGAATATAATAAAAGGAATAATTGGAAAAATATATATAAAACCTACTTTATGAGACTGTCCATATAGCAAGAAAATATGGGAGCAGCTGCTGATATGCATGAATATAAAAAAAAAAAAAATTATGCTTGGTCTTGAATAGTTTGATAGTAATCTTGCTGATTGCATAAAAGATAATTTTGGGTTTGTGTGGAATGAATTATTTGGTGCTGGTTGCTAGTTTTTGTGGCATGGGAGAAACAGAACATTCTTTGAGGAAGGTTTTGAGGAACAAGAATTATCCATTTTTGCTATATACCGGTATGCTGAGAATGTAAAATGGGCACACAGGGAAGAGGAGGTTGGTACTTTGAAGAAATGGGAAAATATAAAGTGGAAACCTCCTGCTATGGGGTGGATAAAGTTGAATCTAGATGGGGCTGTGAAAGGACAGGTTGGAAAGGCTGAATGTGGTGGTTAAATTCAAGATAATAATGGAGGATGGTTATGAGACTTTGTGAATAGAATTGGGTGTTGCATGGCTTTTGATGCTGAATTGTGGGGAATTTGGTCAGGATTTCGTATTTTGAAGAGACTGGGTCTTAAGAAAGTGATTGTTGAAGCTGATTCCATTGCTGTGGTGACTATGATGTAGAATATGATGATTGATTTTGATGTAAATAACAGATTTATTTGAGCTGCACAGAGACTTAGGCTATCCTCCCCTCCCCTCCCCTCCAACCAAACACGACCTTATAGATGATAGTTGGAATATAAAGTTTTCACATACTTATAGAGAGGGTAATTTTTGCGCTGACTGGTTAACAGTTAGCAAACTGGAGTCTAACCTAGGAGCATGGCTGACAGTTACTTAATTGTTCTCCTAGAGGGTTAATAGAGTTTCAGTACAGAGATATTATGGGTACTGCACACCCAAGACTGATTTCTGTGTAATTTTCTGGGTTGAATGCCCCATTTTTAATCCAAAAAAAAAAAACTACCTGATGCCCTATATTTTGGCCCATGCAGTGTTTTCAGAAAATGTCCTATATTGTGGTTAGGGAGTATTGTACAGCCCATTAACTCTTAACAATAAGCAAAGGATGACATATAAATTGTAATCTACAGCCTATTAACTCTAACAATAAGCAAAGGATGACAAATAAACAGAAGCTTGCAAGGAAAATATGTTTAAAAAAAAAAACCTTCAAAGACTGACGAATTTCGACAATAGAAAGTCATGGTAATTCTTCCAAAAATCAAGATTTCGACTTACAGACCCAATCAGACACATTGATGCATTGAAGTTGATCAATCAATTACATTTACTCTTCAGATTGAGATTTTCAATATTTGTTTAGTCCCTACTCAAGTTTTGTATTTGGGTTCAAAATTTAAGCATCTCAAGTCCTATTTAGTGGATAACTTTAACTACATCCCAAACTCATATGACTGTAATGCTAAATTTTGATACAATGCTAAGCTTCGAACTAAAAAAATTATGATTCTTGGTATTTTGCCATACAATTTCATCCCACAATACAAATCCAGAGTATTCCTATGCGTAGGTTATTCTTTGCAATTAAACTGGAACAGCTCCATAGAATACTCTACAGAAATACGATCCCTTAGATACTTTCAAGCAGCCTAACTTAACAGCACTAATATTCAGGATCCGCACATGTCCAGCTTAAGAACACTTATTTCCACAACTCAATATCTAGCTTGCTAAAAATCTAATTCCTCTGCTGTCCTATCTAGTCGGAATGTTATTGGCAGGAGTATATCCACCATTCATTAAATTGACCAGGCAAAAAATATCCACATCAAAATAATGCATTTTGATGCCAGACCAGCAAAACCCATTTTTGCCTTCCTTCTATCCGTTATGTTGTCAGAGCACTTGAATAGATAAAAATTATAGAATATCTTATGAGCCTTCAACTATTCTTTGTATTCAAAATGAAAGATGTGTGTGTAAAAAGATGGAACACCAAACCACGCATACAAATAGGAACAGCACTGAAAACACCATGTAACACAAGTGAGCTTTAACCTATATAATTTCACACCATAACATTTACGATAGCTAACTCAACCATGATTTCAATACTGCCATATCATCTATGTTAAAAAAGAAAGAAAGAAAGAAATAATAAGGCATGCTACCATTAAAATAATTCAATGACTTTGCAAAAGTCTGGACAAGCAAGGACATGAGTTTCATTTCTTCCTTGCATAAGTTATCAATATTGAGAACATAAGCACTATGAATATTTAGAATTGTCCCTTTGGGATTTAATAAAGAAAAATACACGATGCTGTAGTAGCATCTAAAATGCACTGTTGACACTTGATATGATTAAAAACAAAAAGATTAAAATTACACTTTCAACTCCGTTGTAAAACACAAGAAATATTTGGTTTTCCATCTGAACACCATTCATGCAAGTGAACAGAAATCATTCATCCGGAATTAAATAACTCTTTAGAAAATCGATGGATTGCTAAATGACCTCTGGCTCAAATAAAAAATAAAGCATGCAATAGAATGTACCATCATGAAATTTTCGTATCAAATGAAATATAGTCATTTTACGGAAAATATAAAATAAGACAGGAAAATCATATAGAACCAACAAAAAAAAAAACCAATCAATTGTGTCATGCATTGACGAATTTACTCACCTGAACAAGGTAATAGAAGATGCGAAGACCTTCAGGATCTGCACTACTCTGGACATCCACAAGAGATCCGATTTTGGATGTTGTGAAGGAAATATGCTCATTTCCCATCACAATCTCCAGCTCCTGCCGTCCAACTCGATCAGGTTCTGGCCAATTGTTGTCATCTTCCTTCATTATCTGAATGAAGACAGAATTTAGTGAGAAAATACAAGGAACAACCATCTATATAAGAAATGAGAATTCTACAACGAATTGCAGAATAGGATTTGGCACTAATAAAAAGAATATTTTAGATTTTGATCATATTGTAACTATTTAATGAAATAAAGAAATTCTTGTATGGCAAAATTAGCTAGATAAGGCCACATATGAGCATGCAGTTCTTTTTGATAGTAAAATGTGAAATTTATCAGATTCGGATGGGATATGGATGTTGGAAATGTGAACTAATTTCAGATAACAAAATTTTGAACAGGCACCTGCCTATTGCCATTCCTAGCAATCGCTATTACTTATAGAATGATCACCTGCTTCTCGGTTGAAATATGCTAGCTACATTTCTTTCATCTCACCAACTCAGAACAACAACGGAAGTTGTTCTTACAATTTGAATATAAGGAAGGAAGAGGGCAAAAAGTCTAGCAGCCAGAATCCTTCACTAAGCTTTTATATAATAGAGAAAACTTATTAACATCATTCTCGACCCAGCAAATTACATTTAAATCTAAACAGTTAAGACAACAGAATCAATCAACAACTTCCACGACCGTAAAGACTTCATCTTTCAAGTTCTCATCCAAACATCCCAGAAGTCCACATATCGATACAGATACTTCACAAAAGGATACGACTACACAGAGCAGAGTCAGCCCCAAAAAGGTTTCCAACTTTGATTTATTTGAAGAACGAGTAATTGCAAAATAAAAAACGCACCAGACATCTTTGAAAATCTCTACTTCATTTAGCAAATGAAGGGCGGAAGAGAGTAACAAAAATAAAATACCGAACGAGAAATACAAGTCGAGCTAAGGCTTGTGAGAGAAGAGGACCAATAGGAAGACCTAAGAGTAAATACAGAAAGGATTATAAATCAGCAGCCGAGTAGAACAAGAATAAGAAGAAGAAACCCTAGAAAATTAACTATTTTTCCACCAAAAAGAAAAAAACCCTAACCAGAAACGCAGATTTATGTCCCAAAACAAAAACACAAATTTGCTCAATTCCTACTTCATTCAACATATCAAATGAAAAATATGCAAATCAGCGAAGACGAAAAAGCAAGGAAAAGGGAAAGTGGAAACCTCGCTGTCGGCAATAATACGGCGGCACTCGCGAAGAACAGCGGGGGTAAGGTAAACCTCCTTGCGAATGATGGTGTCGTTCTTGTAGTTGGAGTTATTTGCATAGCGAAGCTTGCCATCAGGTCTGAACTCAAACTCAAGGAACTCGTGGCCGAACTTCCCTTTGTGCCCCACATAGTATCTCAGGTAGAACTCACCATTATCATCTTCGCTTGCCATTACTCTGCCACCTCTAGATTTGCCACCAGAGCAAGAGTTCAAAACGGGGGCGGGGGCGGGGGAGAAGAGAGCTCGTAATGTAGTGTCTGCAGTTCCAAGATCTATCGGTGACGGAGAATGCTAATCCCAGAAAAACACGGTTAAAATCTAGAACAAATAATTGTTGGCGCGACAAACCTTAGGGCCTTGAGCTGTAATTTGCTCGATTTGATGAGCCGAGTGCCAGATAAACTTTGGACCTGGCCCGAAGAAAATGATTTGGGCTGATCAAACCTGAAAATTAAAGAAAAATTACAATCAGACCCCACACAAAAAATTAATTATTATAAAATTTATTGATAATTAAACTAAATAATATTAGTAATTAATCGTGTTATCAATATAACTTAATTTAATTATTAATAAATTTTACATTAATTAATTTTTTTATATGAAATTTTAATATAATTGTTTCAAAATTAAAAGCAAGTTATAACATTTGAGCCAGGGGCTGGCCTTTTTATTGTAATTGTTATTGTTCTTGTAATTTAATTTGTTAGATACAATTTACTGAAGTGACAAGATTCTAACCAATAATCATCTTATCTAATACTCCCTCCATTTTTTTTTTCCCTATAAAACCATATTAACAACTTTCATACGATTTAGGAAATCAATTTAAAATAGTTTAATTTAAAAAATTTTAACTTTTCGATGACAACGCTTCAATAAATCCATTCAATGACAATTTAAATGTCAAACTCAAATTTAGTGCAAGATATCAACAAGCTTGTTATTTTACCTGACACGGTTGAGTTTAACACTTCACATTATCTTCATCTTTTCTTATATCCTTGATCTTTAGATTTTTTTTTAAACCACTTATGATGTCTAATTTATTTAAAAAAATATTAAACTAAAGCGAGGTCAAAGGACGAAATATTACTGCAATGAAAATTCCATAATCCAACACTTTGATAAGCTTTGCAAAAGCTAACAGCACTAACTCAGTTTTTTTTTATTTAAAAAAAAAGTTCCTTACAAGCAAAAATAAGGGGTCTTTTTTTTTAGCTTATTTCATAAAAAAATCACATATTTTTTTTAAAAAATCTATTTTGTATGTTTTTATAATGTCTATTTAAACTTTTAAAAATTATCAGAATAAAAAACAATTTTTTGATTAATTTGAGTAGTTTCTAAAAATAATCTAATACAGTAGATGAAAAAAAGTGTTTTAAAGAGATGAGATACTCGAACATCTCATAAAATTTTAAAATAATATAATAATAAATTATTTTTATAAAAAAAATTAAAGAAGATCTCATAAAACTGAAAAATAACTAACTAATAATCACTTATTATTATTATAATCAAATATAAAATAATTTCTACTTTCTATAAAATTTTTATAGAATAGATCTCTTTTTATAAGATCTTTGAAATCATTTATTTTTTAATCTTAAACAAACATGTCACACTCTAAACTTTCAAAATGACCGGCTAAAATATAAGATAACTCGTACCCCCTTCATTAAAAAATGTAAGGTATTTTTTGAGGAGTTAGATATTAAAAAATGTGGGGCATTTTTAGTCTTTCAATATATAATTATTATTTTTTTCAAAAGTACCTCTATTGATAATGACTTTATGTTTATTATAGGATATTTAATAAGAGTAAATATAAAAAGATAGGATTAGTTTGAAAGTAGGTAACTATTTTATTAGGGAGTAAGATTTAGTACAAATGTTTTACATTTTTTTAATGAAAAAAGTATTTTATAAGATTAAACTCTTAACATGTCTAACGTATTAATTAAAAGTTTATCATACAATCATCATTAATATTAAGTAATTGTTTATAAGAACAAAATATTTAAACTTGCTATAGAAATTTCAACAAAATATATGCTATAAGTTGAACTTCTCAAAATCTTTACGACTTGCCAAAAAAACATCTAAACAGCATTTGGAGTTTTACTTCGATATAGTATATACACATATACAAATCAAAATAATTTAACTATGAATCTTGCCTATATGTTTTGTGAAATGATTCTAGACCAAAAATAGAATGTTTAAATATTTACATTAACCCACAACGTAATTGAAACAACAAAATACTTCTCATCTCAAATAGTCCCACGAAATCTATTGAAAAGTAAGTTCACTATTACTATTTGAATATTAAAAATTCTTCCAGTAAATAACATCCTCAAATAATATTAATAAATAAAAATGATAATCGTAAACATATACAATAGAAAACAAGAGACTAATTTAATTATCAATGGTATTAGAAAATAATAATACAATTTATCTTTAGGAATTGAGTAACGAAAATAGAAAAGAGAAAATAGAGAATCATAATTAACAAGTTAGTAATATATCCTTTATATAAAACAAATCATAAAAATAAAATTCTTAAGAGTGAAAGCGAAAATATAATTCGAAAGATTTCTTAGGACTTGAATAGAATGAATAACAGGTGTGGATACACAGTTCACGAGAATAAATAACATCTGGCGTGATTAAAAGCCACAAAAAACAGGTGCAAGCATAAATCTCACGAATAACGGGCATAAATTATATTCATAAAATTTTATCTTTCCTTCCACATGTGTTAGCCAACACACGGGGCAAACACCTCCAATATATCTTACTAACAAGGTGTGTCATGGCATGTCAAGGGTTAACGAAACTATCTTTAACAACAAACATTTTGTATTAAGTCCTATAAGACATTTCTATCATGCATGAAATCCAAAAATCCTTATAGCTCAAAATTTTAAATTTGTGAAGTATAAATAACTTTTTTATCTATAATTTATCCAGTCCATATTTAAAAGAAAAATAAAATGCCATGGGAGTATATACATAATTAAACTCAAATAATGAATGAGCTCATTACACACTTTAAGTTAGCTTAATCATACAAGATAATAAGAAGATTTGTTTATAACAATTAAAACAGATAAATAAATAGATAGATAGATAAAGAGAAATACCATTACTTCTTTGTTATTTACTCATCTGATATGTCATCCAATTCGAAAATTCTCTTATTACAATTGCAATTAATTTTTCTCTTCTTCCACTGATCCTAACAAACATAAAAAGAATTTTAATAGATTTTCTACTAGATAAATAAACTTTCTCTCTCACTACAATAGTTCGTTCACAATTAACTTAAATAAGTCAAAGATCACCCTTCATCATCATTTAAGCATCTAAATTTCTCATATTATTTTAACCCAATAAATTGAATTATTAGGATATAATTTTATTTCAAACTTTTTTTTACAAACACCTAGCATACATAAATTTTCAATTTCAAAGTAGTCCATCTAAACTTCTTAGTATTCAATCTTTTGCCCCAACAATTCTAATATTACTATTATGCGGTACAAATCAAACTCCTAATTGAAGATCAATTTAGACTTAAGAAAGGACTAATTCTATACCTATCTTCTTCCTCCTATAATAATCAAAATAGCTGAAATGAAATTACCTAATGAAATATAATCTTTAAAATTAAATTTATAGCTTAATTAAATTCTATCCACATTCTAATCCACACATCAAACATGAATAGGGAGAAAAATCAAATTTTACAACAACTCAAACAACACACACAAACACAGGTGGGCGACAGCAGCACAAAAAAATGAGGAGGAGAGATTTCAAGCATAACCACACCAAACCAAGCTAAGGGAAGAAGGAGGAACAAGTGCTGAACCACTAGACAAGAATGAATCAATTGGCAAGGGGAGTCTTCAACGTCGCTGCAGCAAACGAAGAGGGACGAAGAGCAGAGTGACAGCAACAAGCAGGGAAGAGAGAAGACCACTGGAACCGATCTTCAACAGCATCAACGGACGAACCATTGTCACTGGCGTCTAACAAAAGCAGTCGGAAGAAGAAGAACAAAGCAGGGAAATAAGGACGAGTTTCTCTTGTGCTCTGTCTCTCTCTCTCTCATATTGAAGTTTTGAGAATATGCAAGGAATGAAAAGGATGAGAATTAATGTCTGCTGTCCACCGTGTGTGTTTACTCCTTTTTATTAATATTATATTCTCTTTGACATCAAGTATATTGAACTTTAAACCTATCAACAGAGACTCAAAAATATTCTCACCAAACTACCATTCACTTTATTATAATTACCCAAAATTTTAAAAATACACTTAACTATTTTATCATAAATTTTTACTCAGTTAATGAATTAATTTAATTTATATATATACACACTGGGTTGTTACAAAACAGGCCATAATTTAATTTGAGTGGGCTAAAAGCAGCTCAAACCAAAATCAAAATCAAAACCAATTGCCATGATGAAACTTCTAGCATTAAATCAGTTTTATACTAAGGATTCAAGCAACAATAAAAACTATAATATAATCAAACAGGATCTAGATTGTCTGCATCAGAAATAACACAAAAATTTGAATAGAAAATCTTGGAAATTCAAAAACAACACAACTTTCTATACAATCAAAAAATTTTATTCCAAAAGGCATATCAAGACTACTCATAACAAATAATCAAGGTTTCCAGGCATTAAACATAATAAAAATCTAAAATCTCAACACTAATTTAGTAATTTGGGGTTTGATCAAATAATCATATTTTAATTTTCACAATTTTCACGGACTAAATTTGCTTTAGAAGTTAGAACCAAGAACAAACTTCCACAAACTCTCAAAAGCTTCAAATATACCAACAACGACACAAAGAAATTATGGATCTATAGCTGCCATAACAGAATCTGGCCAAAAATCACACTTTAATTGGCTGAAAATGGTAGAAAATAAGAGAGGATGGGAAGTTAATGAAACTTAATTTGATGATTCTCAAAATTTTGAAGCTTCATTTTACCCAAAAAAACAAGATTTAAAAATTTCAATCACGTCTCGATACTCTCAAAGAACTTGCCCTAACAAGGAATTAAAAGAGGACGTGCCCCTAACTTTTGAAACCCTAAAAATCTAATCTATAACATCAATCATCTACGTGTTTGATATAACTGGTGTCGATCACTGCTAGCTATGTAAGCATTGTTTAAGGCTGATTTTTTATTATAAAACCAAAAAACATCCCTTTTTTGGTATCCAC